ACTCTTTCCTAGTAAGACTGGCATAGTACAGAACATTTTGTAATGATTGCATTCTCATTCATAACTGCATTGCCTCAACTTCCAGCCCTGGCACAGTGAAATGAAGTCAAGTATTCTGTGTCGGATGCTTCTGAGCAATGTATCCCTAGGATCTGTTGATGTTGTTCCCAGTGCACCCAGGACTGTTACCTACCTATCTCAAATTACTCCAGCATCTCTTAGCAGTCTTCACTGGCTGTGAAGCAGCTCTTGGACAGGTTGTTCCTGGCAATTTCATGTATAGCTTTGCCTGTGAGAGCTAACAATTATCTCATCGCACACACTGATCAGCGCTGACCCAAAGATGTTCGGAGGATGCTTTGCAAATTAAGCCTGTGCTTAAGTGTTTGAGGAGATTAGGGTGAGAAGTCTCTCGGTGCCTTCTAGAATCAAGCTCTTCTGTAGGCTGAAATCCACTTGAAGTAGACAAGGATACTTCTGCTTGGGGCTTCACAGCCACTGCATCATGCATGGGCTGTGATAAAGAACAATGTTGCTGATGAAGCAGCGTGTAGAGCCTGTCCTCTCTCTCTTAGGTTCAGTAATTAAGCCATGCATGCCTGTGTGCGCACACATGCTCCCTGGAAATTGCACTGTGGCTTATGGAGGAAGACCCGAGACTTATGGACAGATGTCCCTCTGCCTCTTGACCTGAAGGAGAGTCTCTGTACTCCCTGGATTAGGAGCATAATGTATTACCCACTTCAGTCCACAGAAAGACGTGCGTTGACATGTCTTAAGAGCTCTCTGCCGGATGTAAGCAGGCCTGGCTCTAGCCATTAGGCACCTCTCTAAGTGGCCCATAGTCGGGGGGCCATGGAGGAACTGTAGCTTGAGCCTTGCTGTGTGAGCTGGCAAAGGGTTTGACCCCATAGCCAAGCATCCTACTCAGCACTGGGGCTTGGATATACCCATCCTCTTGGACTCCCTGTCTGAGAGGTTCTTTCTGAGCTGCTCTTGTTCCTGACGGGCTGCATCCTGCTCAGGGCACTGCTGCCGGCTCACGTCACTGACACAGCTCTTGTCACTTGTCCAAAGTCTTCTGCCCCTGGGTCACGTGCTGGGATGGGTCTGCAGGAGCTGGGTTGGGCCCTTCCCATGCTAATGCCTGTTTCCTCTCAGTCCTCGTGCAGGGTAAACAGGAACACGCTGAGCGGCTACTTCCTTGCAGGCAGGAACATGGCTTGGTGGCCTGTAAGTAAATGCCATCTCCTTCCCTTCCACCTCCACACAGGAGGACAGTTGGCAGGTTCAGGTCCCACATCCAGGGGGTCTGTGGCAGACCAAGTGCCCCCAGGAAAAAGAGAGCAGCGAGGCCTCTCTTGCTGGTGTAGATGGAGGTCTTCCATGCTGGGTGATTGTCCCCACCAGTGCCTGTGGATGCGGCACACATTAGCCAGCTTGCACAGCACTGCCTCATTGCCAGAGGGGCTCTTTGCAGTCTGCCAGGCATTGATGCCTGCTCAGTGCCATCCTGGGTAGCTGCAGCCCTGCTTGAAACCAACCCAGGTCTGTGGTTCCACTGTCACATTGGAGCAGGCTTCTGTAAGCTGGCCACTGCCAAGAGGCTGCTGCCTAGCTCAGCCGCTTGCACCAACGGTGCTTCTTGTTTCTGCTTTGCAGATCGGAGCCTCCCTCTTTGCGAGCAGCGAAGGATCTGGGCTCTTCATTGGGCTGGCAGGAACGGGAGCTGCGGGGGGCATCGCCGTCACCGGATTTGAGTGGAATGTAAGAATCCCTTCATGTTATTAAGCAGGTCATCACTGGAGCCCCCTGGGACAGCAAACCCTGCCCTACAGAAGGGGTCACCTCACCATTTGCAAGTAACCCTGCTGGGGCTGAGAAGAGTTAATGTGTCAAGGGAGGAGGATGACATGGGGCATGGACACACAGCACGCTTACTCTCAAATTACCCCCACCTCTAAGTGGCCAGGCACTGAGGTAGCACCTGCTTTGGGCAGCCCATCTGAGAGTGCTGGCTGTATGTGCTCTGTACTGCAGAGTACATGTATTGTGGGATGAGACCTGGGGTAAATTACTCTGGGATAAATGTGTCATGTGTCTGCACCCAGCTTGTCCCCTTCACCGGCTGGTCTGCACATGGCGTGCTGGGATCTGCTGAAGAACCCAGGCCTTAAATTCTTGCAGAGGTCCCATGTCCAACCTTGCAGCCATCTCCCAGGGCAGGTGGTTCCACAGTGATAGGCTAGTAGCCAGTCTTCTGGTTTTCTGAACATCACCTCCAAAGGCTTCCCCTCCAGCATAAGGCCCTGGGCACTGATCCCCTCAATTAGTGCCCAAGGAGGTCACATGAACACTTTGTGAGAGCAAAGCCAGGAGCTAAGGACTGGGGGGCAAGGGGGTTCTGTCAGGCCTGGGTAGCTGGGCAGCTCACCCCTTGAAGCCAGTGGGAGTCACAGGTCTGTCTCTAAAAGCAGGGCTGGGCCCAGGTCAAGCCTCTGGGCTGGGACCCAGTGGTGCTTAAGTTGCAGCCCCTTCTGCAGATGGCGCAGCAGTAATTCAGACTTTGCTTCTGCTTCTCTGTAGGCCACCTATGTCCTGCTGGCACTGGCGTGGGTGTTTGTGCCTGTCTACATCTCTGCAGGGGTAAGTGCACCCTGACTCCCCTGCTCTCATCATTGGTGACTCGCATGCTGCCTCTGGGGTCATGCAGAGACACTCCAGGCAGCACCTGGCCCTTTGCTTCCTGTGTGACCCTCTTGTAATAACCTCCTTCTGTTAGGATAAGTGGGAAAGCAGCTGTTCCTGTCCCCTGACTCCAGGGGGAGGTATCCCCAGAGTGTCCCTTAGCTATCCAGCATCCTCCTGGCACTTTTCATCTACCTCCTCTGTATCTATTTGGGCTGCAGGTACCTTTAGGCAAGGCTGCGGTGCCATGCAGTGACTGTGCTCCTTGTTTCCCTGTCTCAGATCATCACTGTGCCCGAGTACCTGCAGAGGAGGTTTGGAGGTGAGCGGATCCGCATGTACCTTTCAGGCCTCTCGCTTCTGCTGTCTGTCTTCACCAAGATATCGGTGAGTAACCCCCAGCTGACTGTTGTCTCAATGCCTGTGAAACTCCAGGTTTGCTGGACTAACGTTGGCCTGTGAACCCTGGGCAAAGGCCACGGCATCAAGAGCATCTGTGTGGTGGTGGCCTCTGGGAGTGTATTTGATACCCAGCAGGATGTCACATTTGTGGCAGCCTGGAAACAGAGCAGGATGGGATAAAAGCAGCTGCAAGAGGTGTCAGGGGAGGCAGAGCCTGGAAATGCCTCGTATGTGGATGGGGGAAGGACCAGCATCCAGACAAGCCCCACATGCTGAGGACTAGCTTGCCTCTGCAAACACCCCCCAAACCTGGACCCCATGTGCTGCCCCTGGCAGGCTCTCCAGCACAGATGCTTCCTGCAGGGCACATGTGGAAAGGGCTTATCACATTTAGCAGGGAAGAAGAAAATAGAGTTTGAGTGGAGCTCTCCTGTGAACTGGAGGACTCGAATTAGGAGTGAGTGCCTTGGGCTTGGTTTTGGTGTCATGGAGTAGGTGAAGGGAGAGTTGGTGAAGTTTACAGGATGGTCCAAGCACCTTAAGGAAAGGTGGATTCTCTGGGATTTTTCCACTGGGAGGTGCAGCTTGGGCTTCATTTCAAGAGCTTTCTAGCTGTGCTTCTCTCGGCACCCTCCTCGGTACCTTAGCATCCTTAGTCGTAGAGAAGTCAGGCTGGAAGGGACCTCCAGAGGTCACCTAGTCCAACCCCCTGCTTGAGGGAGGATGGCAAGGTTTTCTTCAGTGCTAACTCAGCTGTGTCCCAGTGCAAAGCACGCAGGGGCTTGCAAAGGGACCTGGGGAGCTGCAGGTAGCAAAGAGGCCTCTGGTCCTGAGCCCTGTCAGTTCTGCATGGGTAGAGAGCCCTGGCTCGGTCTGGAAGGAGGGGACAGGTTGTAGGAAATGAATCTGTGTGGCTTCCGGGGCTAGGGGCTGTGGGGCGTGATGCATTGTCTGATCAGGTCCTGCCATGAGACCGGGAGAGCCAGGGATGTGGTGCTAGTGTTGCAGAGCTGCAGGCAGACTTGCTTCTGGTCCAACAAGCTAGTTCCCCACCAGGGGGTGCTTGGAGCCAGTGGGTGCATCCCTGGCTCTGTCCTGTAGACTCCAGCCTGTTTCAGGAGCTCTCTCCTTCCCTGCAGGTAGGCTGCCACTTTTCCAGCTTGCTCTGAAATGCTTTGGCTGTTGAATCTGCTTCCACACAACACAGCGCTAATTTGGAGCCTGGATCCAGGCAGTGGTATCTTCCCTGCCCTGTTCAGAGAGACAAGGAGGGCAGCAGCTAGAAAGCGTTTAAAAATAATGCTTCAGATGCTTGTCATTAGCTGTGTTGGATCCCCTGGCACTGCAGTAATGCACCTGCCCTTCTGCAGGGAGCGCAGCTCTCTATTGGGGAAAAAACATCGGAAAGCGAGCGTGAGATCAATGAGGTTTCCTCAGTTATTGCCCTCGTACTGAAGAGGCATTTCAGCCTGGCCTGGTGAACTGCACCTGCCTCCGCTGTCAAGAGAGTAGGGCTCTACTCCCAGCTCTGCCACTGACCTGCTGCATGGCCTCGGGCGTGCCACTTTGCTCTGGGCTCTTGTACCCTTTGACTGGTTAATCTGCAGGCAAGCTGGGGTGGGGACTGGCTCTCACTGTCAGTGCCGCCCTTGCCTCAGTGGTGCCCTGGCCTCACTTGTTACAAGAAATGACCATTTATATAAATCATCAATGGTCTCAAAGCCAGATTGTCATTTGAGCATCTTGAACCAGCAGCAGCTGATGGTGCTCACCAGGTGGCACTGCTCCCTGGCCCTTGCTATGGACTCCAGGGCCTGGCATACTGCTGCGGTGTTCTGGTAGGTGTCACCTCCTGGCTCTTCATCACTCATCGCCATTCAAGATCCCACAGCAGGTTTCCAAAATCAAAGCTGGTTGCAAGAGCAGCTGGCCACACGCCACTTTGGGGGCTTGCTTTCTCCCTCCATCCTGGGGCTTTCAACTGGCTCTATTATTTCCTGGCTTAGCCTAGTTCTGGAGCGTTGCTTTCATTTGTTAAGTAGCAGCTGCTGTGTCTCACTCCAGAGCTGGAGGCACTGCAGTGATGGTGTTGTAGGTGGAACACCAGTTAGATACGGAAGTGAGGAGATGATTGCCTGACCTGTCACAGAATCATCAAATCATAGAAAATGAGGGTGGGAAGGGACCTCAGGAGGTCACACCTAGTCCAACGCCATGCTCCAAGCAGGACCATCACCAACTATCTCATCCAAGCCAAGGCTTTGTCTAGACAGGTCTTCGAAACCTCCAAAGATGGAGAGTCCACCACCTCTCTGGGTCACCTGTTCCAGTGCTTTACTACCCTCCTCGTGAGAGTTTTTCCTAATATCTAACCTCAACTTCCCTTGCTGCAACTTGAGCCCATTGCTCCTTGTCCTGTCATCTGCCCCCACTGAGATCAGTCCAGCTCCATCCCCTTTGCAACGCCCCTGCAGGGATTCATAGATTTACAGATATTAGGATCGGAAGGGACATCAGGAGTGTGGCAGAAATGCCCCCGTCGGTGCCCCTCTCCAGAGATCTGTCTCAGCCAGCCCGAGAGGCTGCTGTTGAATCTCTCACAGCAGGGATCTCGCTCCTTGTCTGCAGACAAAAGCCTGGCGCCTGGGAGGCGATGCTCTGGTCACCTGGGCAGGGGGGGGGAAAGACCCGGCCCTGCGCGCGGGCCCAGGTAGCCAGGGATGCTTTGCAGATTGGACGGTTTGTAGCCAGTATTGGCAGCTTCGATTGGACCGGCTGCTGAGGTCAGGGAGGTTTTAAAAAGGCCTGGGCCAGGAAGAAGCAGAGCCATTATCCATGCGGTCATCCAGGTGAATCTGAACCTGGCTCTCTCCTCATCACCGCATGCTGCAAGAGTGCCCTGCCTCCAGAGGAAACAACAACCACCTCTGGATGATGCGAGTGAGTAACCTACTAGAGATCCGATCAGATATTTAGCTTCAGTAACTCAGATGCGTGTTGAAACGGCTACCTCAGCCACCCTGGTTTGCTCTATGGGATTCCTTTGATATTCCTATAAGATTTCTTGATATTGCTCTACCTTTTACCCTGTTTCTGCCCTACCCCTGTAATCAATAAAGTTCTCCTTTGTGACCGGTGTGGAGACTTATTGAGGGGTGGGTCTAAATTATGCCAAGGAGGCCCCTTAGGTCGGTGGACTAAGGGAGGCTTCCTAATAAGCCCCTGACTTGGGGAAGTGCCCCAAGTGCTTGTA